TGACATACGTAGTCGCCGATCCATCCATCTTTCGTCGTGAAAGCATACTTGATCTCCGCGAGCGTATCCTGCCACTTCGTGGTCACTGTGCCTATCTCTTGACTCTCGGCGGACGAGTATTGACCCGTTTCTTCAGCGTACTTGGACTTCGGCTCTATCTCGCTCCGGGAGTCGATGACCATGATTACTGCCAATTAACCCAGTGGGATTCCAATACGCTGACTGAGTTCTCGCGGCAAATGCATTTCAAAATTGAGTTGCATGGTTATATATCAACCTATTAGCCATTGTTGACTCGTGGTTCTAGATCGGCAGGAGCCTTTCCCACGATAGGCGTTTCTGCGCTTGTGAACCCCGCGATAACCAGCCCATCGGAATCCGGCTATTGCTTGTACCTGATAACACTGCGATGATACTTGTGCGTATGCCGTGAGATGTGCGACGGGTGACAGAGTACGTGAGTTAGATAAGAGGGAAGATATCGCTAGCGTCGGCCGCCCCCTGTCATGTTAGCGAAGGCGCGAAAGCGGAGAGCGGCGGAGGAGACTGTCAGCGCACGCCTGTGGGAAGTCGCGACCATGCAAATAGGATGTTGAGAGTAATCGCGTGAAGTAATCATTCGCCTAGATTCCCAAGTTCATTGACGAAATTAGGGACGGATGAGATATCCTAGAAACTTGAACCTACACCTTCACAAAACCCTCCAACGTCGCACCTAAATCCTTGTAGATCTTAGCCAGCGGTATCAGCACCACCTCGAAAGAACATGGCAAGATCAAGTCAAACGCCGCTGCGCCTCTTGACGAATGCGACCATCGTCACTGTCAATAAGAGTCGGGAGATCATACTCGATGGCGCAATCCTCGTTGAAAACGGCCGCATCACAGCACTCGGAAAGACATCTGATCTCATCGATCAAGTCAACCAAAACGAGGACAGAGATCTTGATATCGTCGACTGCAAGAACAAGATCATCATACCGGGCTTGGTCAACACACACGCCCATCTTGCGCAATCACTGCTCCGTGGACTAGCCGAAGATCTCCCATTGCACAACTGGTTATGTGATGCAATCTGGCCATTGGAGGCCAACTACGCCGAAGACGATGGATATGTAGCCTCGATGCTGACGATTGCGGAGATGTTGAAGACGGGAACGACATGTTTTCTTGAGGCTATGCTTACGCATAGGAGCGGCCTTGAGAACGTCGTCAGAGCAGTAGAAGAAACTGGCATTCGTGCGTGCTTAGTGGGTTCTTCGAAGCACTATCAATGAGATGAGCTAACTTAGCTGCTAGGGCAAATTGATAAAAGTCGGCGAGACAAACTCAGATCTCAACATGAAAGATGCCAGAGATCGGGACGTAGACTCAATGTCTGTAGAAGTTGCGCTATCAGCGCACAAGAAGTATCATGGCTCTTCCGACAACCGTCTACACATGTGGTTTGCAGCGGGCACACCTCGAGGCTCACAAATGGCGGTCCATGCCACGATCGGCGAAGCAGCGCGAGCACACGACATCGGTCTCACTATGCATTGCGCAGAAGCTCCTAAAGACCTACCCATCTACCGACAGTATTACCAACGCAGCCCTTTCGAATTCTGCCGAGATACGCACTTGACGGGCCCGAAGTCAGTATTCGCCCACTGCGTACATCCGGATGCAGCAGCTGGAGATTTCGATATCTTGCGCGAAAGTAAAAGTACTGTCTCGCACAACCCCACAAGTAACCTCAAGCTTGGGTCTGGTGTGGCACCAATACCAGACATGGTGGCCAGCGGTGTGAATGTAGCTCTGGGGACCGATGGTGCACCGTGTAATAATACGTACGACATGTTTCGGGAGATGCATCTAGCGTCCATTCTACACGGCGGTGTCAGGCAAAATGCCGGGGTCCTCAGCGCGTACGACGTCTTGGAGTTCGCGACGATCAACGGCGCAAGAGCGCTAGGACTGGAAGATGATATTGGGAGCCTGGAGGTTGGGAAGAAAGCGGATATCGTCGTTGTTGAGCCAAAAGGCGTATCTTGTGCTCCCTGGGATCCAAACGAGCAGACTTCCGGTGGCATTGATCCTGTCACAGTGCTGATCCATTCCTCTGGTGCCGATGTCGATACAGTTCTTGTAGATGGTCAGTTGCTTGTCAGTAACGGCAAGTTGTTGCGCATTGATGAGGAGACGATCATACAGAAAGCAAAGAAGTCAGTGGCAGATATAAGGAAAAGGAGCGATGTAGGTGCGCGAAACCACATGTCGTTAAAGTATATATGAGCTTAAAACTGAAATGAGAGCAAGTCATCAAATAGACTTTGCCCTCCAAATCCTGTTTGTGGTGGTAGCAAGTTCATGAAAGAGTTCCATGAAGTATCTCCTACGCTTATAGGAACATCCTCCGTCGATGAAGACGTAGGAGTTGTTACCTGCAAGTCTTGGGCTACGTCGCTGATAAAGGTCTCCACGTTGAATCTACGGGCTCGCTTGCCAGATGATGACGATATTCCACCATTTTCCGCAGGTCGTGCACGCTTCTTGTTGTTCACGCCTCCACACTGGAGCTCGCGCTGCAGTCCCGACAGCAACCGCACGCCGCGCGAGGCAATCTTGCTATGTTCGAATCTACTCAAGTATCCGATTGCATCAGCGACAAGCCTGGTATGTTCGTCAAACTCTCTGTCACTGGCCGACCGATGAAGGGTATCGAGACTGAGAATGATACCTGCTGCGACTGAAAAGGCTTGCTCGATCCATAGTATTGGGCCCTGCTCATCGCTGCCTGATAGTGCCTCTTTCAATATGGTCTTTGATGCCGCGATACAGGTACGCCGAGTGAATGAAAACGCGGAATTGGTGAAGGAGAGACCGATGAATTTTCGATGTATCATGATGATCTTGTGTGAAGCACATATAGCCAGCGAGCGTCTAGCCCAGCCAACATAGATAGGCCAATCGGTCGCCACCGGCGCATTCGTTGATAGAAATGTAGGTATATATGCAGTCGCAAGCTTGCGCATCTTCTCGTCGTAATGAAGGACCTGTTCATACTTCGTGAAAAGCGTGTTACAGCCTGTCATCGCATCTAGGAGTTGCGGCATAAGCGCTGCAATGTCATAGCGATAGTTGCAATAGCTCGCTTGGGTGGGTATGCTCAATGGATGCGGTACCATGTCGTCGTCATTGCAGTTCAGCGGCTTTGCGGTAGTAAAGAAGCGAGGATTGAGCGAATATGACTCGGAGAACGGAATCTGGAACCAATCTTGCGTGCAAAGCTGATTGAAGACTCGTCGACCGGCTTCACGCTGGCGTAGCTGCTCCTTCGAGGTGGCAGAGGCCGAGCTGTCTGGTCCAAGTCGGTGCAACCCAAGACTCTGGGCAATACGACCAGCTGAGGCGAGCAGTATCGACTGACTGCTCGACTTGCCAAGTATATGAGCCGCAATGGTCAACGTCGCGATGGCTTGAACAGAGTAGATGGTATGAGCCTCGATGTAGCCAGCGATTTCGAGACACGTCACAGTCGCTTCGTACCATCTTTGTGACAAGACCTTCCTCTCTTCTGATGAGAAACCCCAAGACTGATATACAGATGGCGGCGCACATGTAATACTGCCTGTTACGATGGCGAATAGTAAACTAAGCCATTGCAGATTCAAGCCTTGGTGCCGGACGTCGCCTTCGTAGTCTCCAAGAAAGATATTCAGGTCTTCTTTGAATATGGCTGAGGAGTAAGACCCGTGGTACCATAAGATGGTGGTACTGTGGTACTCCACAAGCTGGACGATATGAGTCTTGTTCGGAAGAAGCGCTTCAAGTACGTCAAGCTGTGCATCTTTGCTGGTTTCATATAGCATACTGGACGTAACCGCTTCATCCTCATCCCTGATACTCAGTCGCCGTGGCCCGCTGTTCTGCTCTGGTGATGTCCCATAGTCGATGTCTTTCTTACGGCCCCATGCTAGAAACTCCAACACGGTAGCTGCATCATCAGTGTCCGCAGATTGTGACGCGTTATTGTCAAGAGGTGAAGTGGTCGCTGCATTATGAACTGGACTCGCTGGTGTATCAGAGATTTCCAGAGGTAAGGGTGCTTCGCTTGAGGCCATATCACATTGCTCCTGTAGCTTGGCTTCAAGCTGACTTACGCGGTCGAGTAGAGCGCGCACTAGATCGTTAGGTGCTGTCGCTGCACCTTGAGCTTGGTAGGCGGGTGGTGGTGGTACTGAGGATGTCACAGCCGCGTCTTCTCTCGTACAGAAGCTTGCATATCCCCTGCTTTACTTAGCATGAGATGGTCCGGGCAGCTTGCGCAGTACCAAGAAGCTCTGGGTTCCCAGCGAAAAGCAATCCACAGTCGCGCAGGCTCAGTCTTTGTCGAAGACTCGCGGATACTAGACTGCCATGGAAACGGAGGAGCTGACCTTCGAATGCATGTGCTGCAAGGCACACTCTTATCACATTTGATCTTCCTTCTATAGCACTCTGTACATGTCAGACGGGGTCTCGGCCCTTTCGAGGTGCTGCTGTCGTCCATGGTAAGGTTGACCGTGTCGGTCGTGAACTAGGTATCGCGATCGAGGACATCTCGATGCAATGAGAGTGTCCTTCTCAGCATCGCGTTCCCGGTGATTGGCAAGGCGCGTTGGCTATCAGTTGGCTATCGGCGCGCAGTTGCGGTGGGGAAGGAAGATGAACAGGGTGCGGCCGACAACGCGGAACCTTCCACAATCTGGCCTCGGCCCCACTTCATCTCGACCGCGACTTCCGTCTCGCAGGCTGCGGGTGCCTATCTAAGCAGCACGACACACGTGTTGGTGATGACGGCCGATGTGAGCGGCCGCCCTGGCCGCGTCGGCTTTGGCACGCCTGAACGCATATTGCGACACTACATGCGTAGAAGCAAAGATGACCGAACATAAGAATAGGTACAGCTTGCCCTCAAGACACTACGGTCATATATCAAACTCACCAACGTCAATTAGCTCGAATATCAGCCCTCTCATTATGGCACCGACGAAGTATGTTGATCGCTCTGTGCCGACAATCTCCCTCCGCGACTTCGATGCGCGCATCGATGTGATTACACAGGAACTTGTCGATGCTGCAGAGAACCACGGCTTCTTCTGCATCGTGGACCACGGCATAACACGCGACGCTGTCGACGGCATCTTCAATCAGTCAGCGCGTTTCTTCAATCAGCCTGATCCCGTGAAATCGCAAGTGCCATTCTCCCCTCAACACAACGCCGGATGGGAGAAGAATGCTCAAATCCGGCCATCTACTGGTGCAGTCGACCGCAAAGAGTCTTATCAGATGCAATTCGGCGAAGGCATGAATGGTGAGCTGACTTCTTTCGTCTTATGCGTTTGGCCGTGCTGATCTTTGGATAGGTCGATGGCTGAGTGACCAGACCCTTCCGGGGTTCCGAGCGGAGGCTTTGGAGTTCATGCACAGAGTACAGGCAGTCAGTGAGAGGCTCATGAGGTGCTTCGCGCGGGGGTTGAACTTCGAGGAAGATTACTTCGTCAAAGCTCACGATGTCAGCCGACCAGAGTCTCAGACTGTCTGCCGATTACTGCATTATTTCGAGACTCCGCAGGTACCGAATCCAACAGGAGAGGTACATCATCGAGCGGGCGCACACGCCGACTGGGATTTCTTGACTTTGCTGTTCCAAAAGGCAGGGCAGTCTGGTCTTGAGATCTGTCCGGGGCGGGAAGTATCAACTTCGTTCGGGTACGGGGATGCGTGGACCAAGGTTGAGCCGGACGCAGACAAGAACGCAATCGGTATGTTGATGCGCTCTGTCGACCTGAAACCTCTACTCATGCTCCACAGTCTGCAACGTCGGTGACCTCCTTATGTCGTGGTCAGATGACCGCTTCAAGTCGACCTTTCATCGTGTCAAGGCTCCATGTGAACCTGACGACTTCTACGGCGAGCGCTACAGCATCGCCTTTTTCAATCAGCCATGCAAAGACGCCAAGATCCAGGGCCCACTGAAGAAGTATCCAATGGTGACGGGTGAGGAGTTTACGAGGAATGCCATGAGCCGGAATTATCAGGCTATACAAGATAAACTAAAGAAGGAGAAAGAGCCGGCGGTAGCGGTTGTCGAAGTGAGCGCGACGGTAGCTGAGGTAAGTGTTACGTGAAGTTTGTCTCTGGAGTGATAATCGATTTCTTCAAGTATCCACTAAGATCTTTCATCAATCGGAAATAGCCCTGAAGTGCAGAATGATGCAATCTCGATTGTGACTTCAGGGTCTTCGCGTTCTTTCATTTCCGGGGTTTCTCACGGATCCTAGCGCGGATGCCTAGTCGACCCGCTTATTTCTCTCACCTGCCCTGACATTCAGCCTTCTATTCTTGAAACCAAGTTCGACCGTCTAAACCCCACAAGCAACACGACAAGCACAATACCAATGGTTCCAGCGACTCTGCCCTTGGCAGATCCTTCGCCCATCGAGAAGCTGCCCGCCGAGTTACTAGAGTGCATACTGCTGGAAGTTGCGAAGCATGCTGTACCGCCAGTTACCGAAGACGAAGACAGTGGATCTGTTGTCTATCGATACGCCAAGGAAGAGGAGCAAGCGTGTTCGCTCGCATTTCGCCTCACTAGCCGTTGCTTCCGTAATTGTTCATGGAAGGCTTTCGGAGCTTACCTGGGCGAAACAATATTCGATCTGAGATCGCCTCAAAGTATATCCAACCTTACCGCGGCGTCTACGTGCGAGCATCTGGCTCCTTGGGTTACAAAACTTATCATAGCCTGCGCTGAAGTGCCCCCGGGGTACCCACTCGATCATGGGGCATATACGATGCGGATGGAGCAGGCAGAGTGGGATCAACTACGCCAAGACTCTTACTCAGATCTACTTCAAATCAAATTGGCTGAAGACTCTTGGTACCCCCGCATCTGGAAGCAGAAGGGCTACGGATCTCCAATGACGGGTAGTGGCATTCCTACTTCCGCATCGCCTCCACGTCTTGCTAGAGCCTGCACCTCTATGAATATCATCCAGGAGGCCGGGATGAGGGCCCTCCAAGAGGTCTTAGCCCAGACTTTGTTCTGCTTCGGGAACATCGACCATATCGGATTCTACCACCAGCCTCGTACCCGACCCGGGCGATATCATAACCTATTCCAGAAGTTTCGAAATATCTCACGCTACCGCGAAGAAGAGGATATGAGGAATGCTGGTAATATAGCTCATCTTGGCCTTCAAATCCTCATTCATGCCATGGTAGCATCGAAGATCACAGTTCGCACGATGACTCTGGCCGTCGATCTCGATGAACATCACGCGTTCATCACCAACATTCCCTATGTAATCTTCGCTAAAGCCAGTCGAAAGGTAGAAACGCTTGTTCTAAAAGACATGTACTGCCCCTACTACCAAACGCCATCATATAGAAAGAAGGGTAAAGTAGCCGCCACGAATAGCTCTCAAGATATCTTGCTAACTTATTACTAGTATGTATCTCCCATGCTATGCTTTGGTAACGCGGTTCTAAGACATTATGTTATTCGTGCTAACAGCTTGATAGGCCAGACTGTCGATCACGAGAAGTCTCTTCCCCCGCCTTCGCTCGTTGGTGGTCGATCATAGCGAACATGGCGAATTCATCAATCCTCGGCCGATCATCCCGCTTCCTTCGCCTTCCGACACGCCTGCTCTCGACAAATTGACTGTGAGGAATACTAGGATGAATGCCGAGAATTTGTACTCATTTCTACAATGCTATGGGCAGCAGGCTCGGTGCATATCATTCGAGAGCCCGCCAGATTGGGAATACCGCTCCGCGTTGGAGTCCGTGCGCAATCTTCACGTCGAGACACTTGAGATTGAGTATCTGTACAGGGCGGAGTCCTTCTGGAAGTCAATCAACAACGAAGAAGCGGGTTACACATCCGAAGAGTTAGATCTTGACGAGTTTCCGAGAAATCTTGCGAAAACAGTCAAATTGCACCCGCCTTCGTTCAAAGTTGCACTAGAACGATACTGGCTCAAATATCCTGAAGGACAGTCAGGTGGCGATGAGTGAACGGCAATGGAAGAGCGAAGCTGCTGAGAACTTCGATCATGTCTCAGAGTAACTCCATGAATGGTGCGCGGATGGTGAGGTGGCTTGTATACCCTGGTACACATGCAAAGGTAGTCAATGAAAAGTATTAAAATCTCAACTCGATTCCACACAAAGTCCATACCGCTGAAAGATGGCATGGCTATAAGTGACATCTGACACAGCACATGGGGAACTCAAACCGTATCCTGTCTCTCCACGACAATCACCGCTTCATCCGCGCCCTCATCTCTCCTCGCAACATGCTGCCTACCCAACATGTACGAATGCCTCCTTAGTCTCGAAACTTCCCTTTCCGACTTCGTTACCCAGAAGATGCGAGCCATCACCCACAGAAAAGCGACCACCACGAGCAACAGAATGACCATGACATTATCGGCTGCTTTGCTGCCCAGGAGGCCGTAGGAGTATACGCCGTAGCCGAATGTTGCGTCGACGTAGACCGACATGATGAGGGCAAGGCATACAAGAAGAGCTGCGCCTGGAAGTCCGAATCGCCTTTGAAGTTTGAAGATTGGGGAGTGGCGAACAAGGTCGACTCCGTAGGTGTGTACGAGATGCTCGAGGCGGTCGGCGGGTCCGTGAGTCTCGTGTGCGCTGGTACTGTCTGAGTAGGGGCTGGCCATTGATTGATACATCTTGGTGTGGGTTGCGGTGGCAGGGTTGTTCGGGTATGGTGGAAGCCGGTGGGAATTTTATATGTCGAGGTCGATAGTCCAGCCTTTTGTTTCACCACATACCGCCGCGTTCACTAGCACGGAATTCGTCCCTCCTTGTTCTTTACTGATGCTAAGGACTTTCCCGTCATCTGGCAGTACCTTCACTCTTTCATTCCCATTTCCCATCTCAGACCACTGCATCTTCACAGCACCTCTCCCTTCGTGCACATGCCCGAAACAGTGCAGCCTTGATTTCACCCTCTTTACTGCATCGCCTAGCAGTTTGCATCCGCAGCTCTCTCCTTTCACATTGACACCGAGACCGTAGCCGATTTCATCAGTGAATGAAGGCGGTCCATGCGTCATCAAGATATCGATATCTTCGGGTATGTTGCTGAATCGATCTTCGTCTTTTCCGTACGCAAATGCATAACCGTTAAACTCTGGCGTATACGGACTCGCCCAGACACTGAAGCTTCTCCCATCCTTCAGCTTGAACTCATGTCTACCCTCTTCCAGGTAGTATACACCCTCTTTCTCGTGCGACTCCATGAAACTGACACATTTCCTACTGTCCTCCATATCTTCTTCCTCTTCTCCATCTTCAGCGTTCTTGCGCACCCACTCTTCATCGAGATCGAGGTCATGGTTGCCGGCGATGACGAGTTTGAGCTCTGCGTCGACGGTCTGAATGTCTTGCATAGCCTTTTTGTATGCGGGAAGACCGCCGACTTGGGTGAGATCACCACAGTGGATGAGGATGTCGCATGGAGGTGCAGGGCAGTCTGGGGTGTAGGGCCAGGTGGAGTGAGTATCGGAAATGACGAGGAGGCGGATGATTGACGACATGGCGGAAGCGAACTTGGGGATAACGTAGATGAATGTGTCGAGTAGATGCTAGAGAACCAACATCAATATGTAGTGAGACTGAGTCATGTTGAAAGATCATTGGCATTGGCGTGGAGCCAAGGTTGGTAGAATCGCTACCAAATCATAGACTTGGGCCCACTATTGCAATGCGCATGCCAATCAAATCTCACTATGACCAACCCTCTCCGTCTTCACCCAGTTTAAACAGCCCGTTCTTTTTCTTGTCCGCCGCCCATCGGTCGCACCAGGCCTTCATCTTCTCTCTGCTCTTTGCGCTGCCTACGTTGACTGTCGGGATGATCTTGTCGATGCGCAAAGCGCAGCAAAACATAGTCAGCTCTCTGAAGCTGCTATGCTCACTGTACGGCACACCGAAGCAGCTTGCCCGACTTCCACTCCCGGCTTGCGGCGTCAGTTCTTTCATAGAGAAGGTACTTCTCCAATTGTCGGAATGCAAGACGGTTTGTACTTGGGGTGACTCGGTAAAGCGACCCTTTGGTGGACGATAGTTCCAGCCTGAGGGTCTAAAGCCGACAACGCGCGTAAAAGTGTCGGCATAATCGCGCAAGTAGTCGTCCAATGTCTCCGCGCGGATCTCAAACAACGGCGTCATGTGTACTTGAGCTGCCCGAGGATCTGTCGTAAGTAGTGCATCCAGTTCAGGGTCCTCAAGCGCTTTGCAGATGCGCTGTTTGTTGGCAGGCGCGAAGATCTTGCTTCCCAGGGCCTTTGCAATTCCAGTACAAATGCGCTCTTTGCCGATGCTGTATGTGCCTACCACAACGAGAAGTCGGCCTCGTTCAGAGCTTTTGGACTCGCCGGTAGCGTCGGTATTAGAGTCTTTCCGAACGAACTTGACCATGCCTTGACCCGCGCGGTCTCGCTTCATTCGCTCCCATCCATCCGCATCGTCCGCGCGGACTTTGCTAAGGCTTACGCACATGTCCGCGCAAGCTTGGATGACTTGCTTTTGAGGTGGAAAAGCGTATTTGGGATTTAGGTAGGTGGTGTCAAGATAGCAAGCGTCTAGCTTCTGCTGCCGGTTCTTTCCACTCACAGCATCCAATACGTCTGGGCGCAATAGCGGGTGTTCGATATGCGCTTGGCACGCACGGAAGTCTCCACAGTGTAGTACGCGTTGTAGTTTCGGGTTCTTGCCCTTGCTGAGCTCCTTCTCGAACAGGAATAGGGAGCTACCAGGGCAATGGTTTGCGGAGATCATCGTGACATGGACGCCTTCCGTTCCTGGTACCTCGGTTTTCTTTTCGAAATCCAAATCCACCACCCACTTGGGGTCCACACGAAGCTGCTGTCGTACCAAGTTGCCAGTGACTTTGCTACAGTAAATCGGTCCATGTTTCCATGAGGAGGTAAGTCCGATATAGTGATCGCTGTGGAAATGACTCAGGAAGTAGGCGTTTTGACCTTTGACGGCTCCATAGCGGAATGCGTCAACAGCGATGAACAAGCCAGGCATGATCTTGTAGAACGGACAGGTGCGCTGGTATGCGGGCTTGCCGCGAGACTTGTTGTTCTCGGCTGCAGCTGATGCCCAAGCAGCATCCTCAGCATGGCCGGCCATAAGCTTTGAAAAGGCTGAACTTGGCTGAGCGCTGGGCTTCGCAAGCTGAAAGGGGTTGGCTTGGCCAGGTTTAGCTGGCCTGTCCGGCTTTTTGAAAACTTTCGCTTTACTCGTCATGGTCGGCTTGCTCTCCTCCTCAGACTTCACTACAGGTAAAGGGAGTGGATTGCCGTCTAGGCACGCATTGACGTGTACGGATACGTCTTGTTCTGACAGGCCTGGAAGATTGTTGCCGCATATCGGACAGGAAGGTATATCATTGGTACGTGGCTCTTCGTGTTTGACTTCGGTATCATCGCTTTCAGGGAATAGAGGTGGCGCGTCGAAATCGTCCGGGTCGCCCTCAAAGCCTGCCTCTTCCATCTCGAGCTTCTGTTGTTCCTTCATCCATCGCCTTTCATCGTATTCTTCGCCTTCGAGCAGATCGTCGTCTTCCAGATCTTCGTATTCCTCCAACTCTTCGCCGCCGTGTTGAGATGTCGATTCGGACTTGATGGGTGTGGTATCGTGGGATTTGGAGTGTTCGGCACTATCCGGGGGTAACAGGTCCTCGGTTGGTTTAGTCATTGGCGATTCCTCATTATGGCTTCGTATGGTCATACCTGGAGTTGTAGCAGGCATTTCCACTTCGTCGTCTTCGGAGTCTGAGTCGTCCACAAAGGGTCCAGACTTCTTCCGCAGTTTGGGCGCTTGCTTAGAAACGTCGGCTGCCAATGCATCCAGGGCATTGCTCTCAACATCAGCCGGCGGGGGTGGTGAACAGGCCGGCACAGGCGCTACCGCCTCTTCGCTGACTTTGCGCCTCTTGTTGCTCCCACCATTCTCGTTGTACCGCTCATCGCTGTTGTCTGTAGTCATGACGCCATTGCTCTTCTCGTCGCTCCAGCCCACGTCGTCCTCGTCGCCGTCGAGCACTATCGTTGGATTCGACCCTCGTTCTTGTAGGAATATGCGGCTGTTGATCTCCTCGGCTTTCTTGAAGAATGCCATGATGTTGCCGTTCGGTGTGCCAGCCGGCTTCTGCTTCTTGCCATTGCCAGCAGGCGACTTCTTAGCAAAGTCGGCTGGCGTCAAGGTGGTCTGAACGCTAGTTTTCTTCGGAGGGGGTGCTTTCGTGCTCGGCTTGGGCGCAGCCTTCTTCGTTGCGGTTTTGGCGGCCATGTCTGCTACTCGAGACGATGAGCGGGGTGGCGATGGAGCCCGGCCGGTAGAGGGTGTTAATCGGGACGATTCGGGCAAAGAGCGGTTTTCTCTAGGATTTCTAAACATTGAAGAAGTAATTGCACATGGCTGAGTAGTGTTGTGGTGCTCGTGTGCTGTGCAATGTGCGAGTGAACCAGTGGCGACCGAGCGGCTTCACGCGCGCCAAGACAAACGCGTCGACACGTGCAGAGACGCGATCTCAAAGTGCCGGCTGCTTAATCACGGCATCTTCTTGCGATCACAAAGTTTCTCGTGTCTTTCACGAGCCATAACAGTTATGATGCCCATCGTCATGCATCTGGCATACCCTCTAGTGTATGCGCCCTACAGCCTGTGAACCTGTTAAGGTTGCTGGCGAATTCGGAGAGCGATTACGTCAGCGAACGCGCTTGTGCCCGCCGCAATGTCTTCCAGCAAACCGACATCCGTGAGCAGTTGTCTGAAGCAACTAAGCTTCTCAATTCTCATGCCGTAAGCATTGAAACCTCATCTCCGATTCAATTCGCACTGTTCAACGCATTGTACCCTCACTGTCCATGGCCGGTCTGAAATCCTCAGGGGTCTTTTCATCATGTCTGTTCTTCCAAGAACGGGCCCCTCGCCTGCATAGCCACTGCTATAAACAGATAGGTAGTAGGATGGCACGCTCATCTGGCCTAGTATTGGCATGAGGACACGCCCTCGTGGGCCAATTGTCGACAAGCTGACGCGGCCACTGCAAGCTGCTGAACGCCATGTCACGTGGCTTTGACGCCCCCGCGATGACTGCGCTTCACCTCGTCATAGGGCGTTATCAACAACTTGATCGTTGTGGTACGATGCTATTCCCTTCGTGTTCACAATCGCTCGGTTGGCGCGGAATCGCATCCCCACAATTCAATGGCCGTGCTGCCCAGCTAAGATCAGCATCAAACATCACCTCGTATCCCAAAACGGAAGCCCAGCCTCGAGACGATCAAAATAGCAGCACCTCAGAAGTATCATATCTTGAACGCCCTGAGGCATCGAAAATTGTCTCACTCACACGCGATGAAGCGCAGACCCGACGGCCTCTTCCTACTTTTCTTTCGTGTCATGTACCTCACCATCTTCACAGGGTTCACGTGTTTTACCATTCTGGGCTTTGCGGCTATTGGAACTGGCATTGGCATTGCAGCAACAGTTGTAGTTGCTATTGGGTCTGAGGTTGCCTTTGTGCTGGCTAAGAAAGAGGAGGCAGAGAAGCGGAGACAGGAGCGATATCTGGTATGAAAAGAATGTACGGCAGCATGACAATCTCAAAAGGCTCGGGGAAAGAAGAGGTTCAGGCAGAAGGCCACTCATGGGGGAAAGATATTGCCGAAAGGGAGGATCCCACAACACATGTTCTCACACCTTCCGCATCGACATCGCCGGCGCAACCCATCGTTTGCATCAGTTCTGGAGCAACTCAGTTGCCTTTCCACACAGCAGGTCCAGGCGCAGTGTAGCTCGTAGCGATCGGATAGTACGACCACCTCAGGCCAGGATCGTTTGCGTTGTATGCTCCAGGGAACGCAACCAGAGGCCCGGGTTGTCCATTACCACCGCCGGTAATTTCGACCTGCGCACAAGACAAATACATCTGCGCGCCGCCGACTGACTGAGCTTGGTGGAGAGCGATGGACTCTACACGAACAAGATACTTCCCACTCGGCACGTTCTTAGGGATCTGGAACTGTACTTGCGACTTTCCTGCCCTAGGGTTAGCAACTGAAGACGGAAAGAAGCCACAACCAGGGGAGATGGGGACTTACCATACGCAGGCCAAGTGCTCTCCCCACTTGTCAACGGACTTCCCACTGCGCTTATACTCGCCGCCTTGAACCAAACGTTCCCCGCCGGCTCCCACGTATTGACATTCGCACTATCTGGTACTTTCGCCATATAGAACTGCACTGGTCCGAAGTGCGTGATCGATGTCTCGGCAACGAAGCCGAGGTTATCACCAGCAGCGACAACGGCAGTACCCGTTCCAGGACGGTTCTGGAAACAGCGCATGTCGGGACTAGTGACGGACGTAACACCCGAGTTGGTTTGGTAGTTCTTCGTTTGTCGGACTGAAGTCCATTCTGCCGATTCGGGCACGCCATTCAGGATGAGCTTGGAGAAGCGGTCTTTCAAAAGTCAGTTCAACTCTTCTGGATACACTGTAGTGAACTTGCAATGAGCTTGCGCCGTCGCAGCGAGGGCGGAGAGGGCTAGTAGGAGATGCATTTTAGGCTGTCCAGTCGAGAAGCTATTCTGTGAACACCCATCCGAAGCAACTTAGCAACCCGAATAATATATGCAGCAAGGCACTCTGGTCACGCATCGCTTCTTAAATATGCACTAAGATCTTTATATTGTTCTCGGCAACTGAGGATGCACAGGCGAGGTGCCTCTAGATTGCTATCATGCAACCCCAGATTGAGCCAAGCAGATAGATGAGGTGTGTGCACAGAAACCACACCACGCCACACTAAACCAATCTACTTGACGAACTCTACCTGAAGTTCGTCTCGTCTGCTGAAAAGGGAACGGACGTTTTCCGCGAATCTGGCCTTGGAAAAGTTTCCACGATTTTGTGTGGACCACAAATGTTCGACAGCCGCCACAGACACGTACACTTTCTTGACACCATGGATCTTTCCAATATGAATAAGGGCGCCTTGGTATGTCCAGGGGAAGAGTGCGTCACTGCGCTGCCATTCCTGGTCAAACCACACCGTATTGATAACTCGCTTTTGAGCAGCCGCTCTATTGCCGAACCAATCTTTCATCGTCATCTCGTCCTGGAAGGAGAATTCGTTCAACTCGTACGGAATGAACCGAGTCTCATGATAGATTTGTCGACAGACGGCTTGGAATAGCGCCATGCGACCGTTGGTCGCGGTGATCACTCGTTCGTGTTCAAATCGCTGCTGCTGCGGCTGATGCCGCATAGTAGGAGACACAAGATATGGACGAGATTTGTACGGCTGAGTACGATAGTAGGCCTGCCAGTCAATTGGAAAGACGCAGTTGTGGAACTGCCGCGCTTGTATCAGGGATATCGCCTCGCGTCTATGAGGCGGATCCACACCGAAACGAGCTGGACCGGGAAGATCCACAGAGATGTTCGTGTCGTAGTCGTCAGTGAGGATGTGTACGTGTTGGTGACCAAGAGCATATTCGAAGATGACGCAACGGACTTCTGCTGGGAGAGATAGCAGAGGAGACTGCAAGCTATTACGTTCCACGCTGCGATCTCATTAGCTAAAGAGGAGCTCTACGTGAATTGGATACATACATCGCACTGCGAGGATCATCCGCCGAGAGTTGTGCGTTGAGCTGACTGCCCCGATAGAGGGCGGGTTTATGGCCGTCTCGAAGATCATCTGACCCAGCCATAGCGTCCCTGATCATGGTATCCGCCGAAGAGGTGGACTCGCCATACTCTAGTCGCCGCTTCTTTCGCGCACGCGCGGCTTCTTCGAGTTTCTGGCTTTTGGCGCTGACCGCGGCGGTATCTAGATCATGGAAAACTTTGACCTGGGGTTGGTCTGCGGGTTTTGCAAGGCGAACAGAGCGGCGAACCATGATGATGTTGGGAACTTGTATCGTTGACGTGTTGAGTGTGGGAAAGAGCGAGTAAAAGCTTGAGCAGGCCTTCAGCTCAAGGCAGGCGCAGTGGACCAGTGTGGGTCACCTGGGCAAAGGCTGACTGAACCCTTCGCACGCGCTTTAGGCTTCACTGATGTAGCACCTGGGCAGTCATCGAGCACCTAGGGTAATGAGACCCAGCAGTAGGGAACCGTTAGGTACCTACGAGTTCGGCTGCGACTACGCCCTTGGAAGATCGGGCACATTAGTATATGTCACCTGTACCTTACGCAATCGCTAATGGCTGAAGGCGGAGGATCTTCTTCATACCAAAACTTTTACGATATCTTGTGCTATTACGAGTGTATTGGACAATGGCTTCACTGCAAATGGCTACCCAAATACGAGCGGAGCAAGTACGCCAGAGTGTAAAGGCCTAGCGTGTCGTTAGCGTGCCTTCCGCACACTCACACCCATCTATGGGTCGCTTGCTACCCGCCTAAACCCGTAGCACTCTCAGCGTCCGGCGTACCCTCTTTGCGGAGCTTCTACCTAGGTACACCCCTCTCCCCGGTTTCCGACACAACCACGCCCGTTATGAGTCCACATCCGCCCATTATGCGCCTCTGTAAAGAGGGCGACACAGTCGATAGCCGTGTACGGCTGGGTCTCACTAAATATGGTCTCCTCGACACGAGCAAATTGGCTGTCTGCCCTATGTGAGCTACGAACGATGCGCCCGCGATGACACAAACTAACTCACGGAAGTGCCGAGAAAAACAGGAGCGCGTCGTCACTCCTTCGTTTGCCGGCAGAACTGCGAAACATTGTCTTCACCATGGTTCTGCAGAAGCCATGTCTGCAGATACGCGATCATGCTGTTCCCAGCCTGACAGCGGGTATCATCTTGAGATCGGAAATCTGTTATGGGGGACTGAACAAGGCGCTTGTGAAAGATAAAGAAGCCGGATCGTACCCGTTACTATCGCTTGTCTGCAGGCAGATGTACGACGAGACTTGTTTGTTACCATACGCCCTGAACTCCTTCGGCTTCACGTCAACGAGCGCCCTGAGAATCTGGACATCAAGCCGCCTCCCCATACAGTTACGGCAAATCAAGGTGCTAAAGACTCCAATATGTTTTGAACGAGCATACTTCGAGCAGTCGTCCTGGAGATTCACAGACCTATACCCACACCTTGAAGTGCTTTACGTCGACCTATGGAATGCCCGGATGTCTAGCGAAATGGTTGGTTGGTCGGCCGACGAGATTGAGCAGAACCTTGAGGAGAGGACCAAAGTATTGTTGCAAAGGGAGAAGAGTGGCCTGAAGATTGTCGTTACTAAGTACACAAATGTCGGTGTAGCTGGGACAAATATCCTCCAGGGGGTCTGAAAGAATTGGATACGGCGATGACTGCCAAAAGGGGGTTACAAATGAGATGTGGTTACAGCACAACGTATTTGTCGTTACTGTATTTTATGGACATGGCCGGGTTCTGCCCAGGTGCGGAGGTGAGAGAAAGTAAGTTCTCTGACGTCATCTTGATACAGAACTGGCTAGACTACATTTGAAGATGCCTCTACCAAAGTCTTTTCAACCGCTCAATTATGGTTCTCCAACCCCAAGCCTTGCATAATATCCCGCTTAGGTACCCAGAGCTTTATTGCAGAGAGTTTCACGGCACGATGGATGAATTGTCTCTCATTGACCTTAGCGCGAAGAGTCGTGGTGTCCGTTATACTCACAGGTCGCAGATGAGGATGTCGACACTACACGCACGCAGCATGACTCGCATTATTCCCTGATGTAAAATTAGGTAGTTGTTTCACCCTCAATCACCGTGCTAGATACCTTCGAGTTGCCGTGAGGTTCCTAGATAAGCGTTAGCTACCCACGCCGGCAGCCTTCGCTCCTCTCACCATCACTTCTCACATCGGTCAGCATACGGGCTTCACCAGTCTCAAAGTGGATAACTCATTTCGAGCAACCTTCGCACATGTCTCATCTTTCATCGTTCATTTCATCGCCCAATATGCGGACGTCTCCGATTTTGCAGTTATCAAGCTCTCTTGAGTCTGCTCTCCTTCAACCACACACCCTCTTTACACCCAACAAGACCACATTGAGCCTCAAGTATGGGCTCACCTGAACTGTCCGCTCGCTCTGCGGCGCCGAAAGATCACACGATCTCCTCGAAACGCACAAAGGTCGTCAAGAAGAAAGCTCCCACCGTCCGCAAGCCCAAACAGCCTGGTCGCAGGTACTTGAACGGGTTGATGAAAGCCGAGATTCCTGCTCGCTCAGAATTGATGAAGATGTAGATGCGACTCCACAATATACCTCCTATGAAACTGACGCACAACAGCGCCAAAGCCAACTCCATCCAGTCTCCGCTTCTCAGTCTTCCGGCAGAAATCCGCAACAAAATCTGGCAGTATGCTGTTGGATATCATCAAGTCGACATCCATGATTACTCGTGCGTTCGACGATGGGATATCAGGCTCACGCATGTCACGCACCCTTTGACTAAAGGCCCGAATACTTCGTCCAGCTTTGTCCAACCCACTTTTGCGGTCCCTAAAGTATGCCGCCAAATGTACGTTGAGTCATCGGCAATGGTCTACAGCTTGAACAACTTCGGATTCGATAATCTGGACACATGCGACCGATGGATCCTGGGCCGCCCACTCGGTCAGAGACGTCTCATCGTCTCAGTGGACATGCCATTCGGGTACTACAGTCTCTACAAGGACGGTTTTCGCAAACTGCTCCGACAGACGTTCCCGGGGATTACGAAAGTAAACCTGCACACCAAGATGGCTGAGATGAGCCAACGTATCATTACTAGCACTTGGTTTCACACAGTGCCTACCAGGGAGCCTCTCAACGAGACTAAGCAGAGGTTCGTTGACCAGGTCAAGAAGAAGGAGGGTGATGGAATTGAGGTCGACTGGTACAGTGGGTCCGCCAACTCTTTGGTCTACCTGCACTATTGAGGGCGTTCGGTGTATTGTGGCGGCTTCTTATGCAGCCAGCCGCTCTTCAAGAGTTTGTTGGGGATGTTGGGGGACGAGGCCTTTGCTAGTAGTCGATACACAACACTTTGCGGTAAGTGTCCTTGTATGAACTGCCTACGAGATGTACACTGACTACGAAGATCTGTATTTAGTGTACATGACCTTTCACAACCAAAGTCCGGCAGAACTTGCATATCAACCACACCGGTTTGACATTGGAAGACGCATGGTTCATCTGGCCATTTTGCGCTCAGGTCCCTGGTGCCAAACACCCCTTCGAAAAGAGACGATCATCACGGTACGACTGCAGCCAGACGGAATGAGAAAACCGAATGCGTAAGTATCTTCTTCCATTTATCAGCATTTGTTGCAGCTTTTTCTTCAGCGTTTGTTCCAGCGTTTGTTTCATTTGCATGGGCGTTCACCCAATCTAATACGATCCGATCTTGTGTTTTTTCGTGGAGGGCGCAGACCTTTGCGCAGAGTAAGTCTCTGGCTATAGATCGGGAGAAAGGTTGTCGAATGGCGAGAAAGAGGGTAGAACATGATGTCGGGACTTTGAGGTGGGTGCAGTGGCTACAAGAAACTAGAATCTTCAACAGGAAGGTGCTTGCGCTGTCCCACGTATTCACCGAACCTCGACCAGCAGTGAGATCTGGAGCTCCCGATGACTACGAACGACATGCACTTACCAAAATCCTGGACTTATTCCTCGTCATGCAGAATAATTCCATCAAAAGTGATAGACGCAAACAACTTCTGGCATCATACATAAAGAAACGGGCTCGAATTGGACCTGCCTCCACAAACCAGACAAGCCGTAAATTGAATATGATTAGAAAGACCAGGAGTGGTCAGGTATACTCAGCAACAAAAGGAAAACAACAAGAGTTCATGCACATGCCATCACAACCCAATCGCACATCCCCGTGCGCACCTTCAACTCCATACCAGTGCCGACCACCACCCCGTCTGGCCCATCCAGCTAACCCCCCATTATCCGTCTAACAGCACTCCGCCGCACACTCACAGCAATCAGCGCAGCACTCGCAACCCTCTTCGCACACGAAACAACAGCACAGGGTCGCCAGACTAGTCTTCCGTTAGCCAACAGTTCAACTCTCGAGTATATCGTGCCCACTTACCAAGCCGCCAAGCATCCTCTGTCCTTCTTCTGCTTTGGTTGTGGCGGGGGTGCTTGTTGGTATTGTCCTTGCGGAGGACCGTAGTACATCTGCTGTTGTGGTGGTGGAGCGCCGTATTGTTGGGGTTGGCCGTAGCCGCCGCCTGGGGGACCGTAGCTGTGATGGAGTTAGCACTTGTTCACTCTTTAACTGCGTAAATGTCTTTTGCGATCGAAGGGAGATTTGGGCGTGCGCGCGGCTTTGCGCGATATCGCCGGTCCTTGTAGACGGTCGTGGGAAGCGTACCTTTGTTGTGGGTACTGAGGCTGAGGCCCGCCTTGGTAGTAGCCTTGGTTCGACATGTTGATTTAGAACGGCCTTTGAGATGTTCGTAACAATGGGAAGTGCGGATCAGGAGTCGCGCTCGTGTTTAATTCAATGCGCTCGCAAACTGCTCGTTCGTTCGTCGATGATGGAGGTAAGACAAAGGCAGCCGGTAATGGTGAATCAGGCAAGCAGCAGTCGCGCAACCGAGTCTCGTATCCCCAAACCAAGCTTTCGCCGAGGAGCCGTCCGAATCTTAATTTCTCACTTGTGGAAATCCCGCGTCACCTGTCAAAGTCGTTGCGCAACGGTCAAAGTAGAGTCAGAAGTACAGTGAGTATACGGCTGGAGGAAATACAGTGGACCCTTCTTACAGTCTGGGGAGGGGATGCGCCGCCTTTAATCTGCAGCGCGCTCGTTCGCGCCCTCCTTCTCACGCGGACAGGGCAACGCATCACTCGGCCGGTCTATTGGGCTAGTTAGCCTGAGCCACATTCGCTGCCCGGCTGTGCGCCGGGCTATTGGCGCAAATAAGCCGGGGGCGCGAGACATGCTGTGGGCTTTCGTCATCGCCACAGATGCTTGTCATGCTTTTTGACAATGCCAACGCGATGGCGGGGGATCTCAAGGCGTGGCTGAGTTATGGCGAAGCTGCGATGATGATGCAGTTGGCCGAGATCTATCCACGTACTTTGCGGTGGGTGCAAGGTCTGGCATCACTCGTCGAGCAGAGCCACAGACGCGTGCGCGGTTTTGCGTGGATACGACATCGAATCGGCCTGCTAGCTAGCCAGCCACACATGCATCGCAGGGATATCGTGCCACCTGATGTGTCAGGCTAAGCTTTACTTGGCAAAGGCTTGGTCTCGCATCTGCCTCGCGCCAAGGGTGAACGACAGCTCGAGAACAGGGGTGATTCGTCCTGCACATGTAACGCGTGCAATGTCTGTTATCGCAATGCCTTGTTAGAAGTATTCCAAGGTTAGTTGACGTGCAAAAGTTCACGTATCATCGAGACTGCATCTCCCCGCCAATCCTCTCTGAGCAACTCAGCCATCACGCCACGCATGTCAGCCGCAGTCTAGACCACACCATTGCCGGACCGATAGTACCACCTACACATCTGAACTAGAGGTTCACTCAATTTGAAAAGATGGCTACAGAGGGCAAGATGCTAGCAATGAGGGCAAAACGAAGCTGGTAATTCGGAGTGTTACGTGCACGCAAATGCTATGTGGCTTGATGAAGAATGCTATCGAGCCTTGCGAACCCACTCCGCCAAACAACAAACAGGTACGGTAGAACTTATGTACATATACAGTAGCAGGGTAATTAAGTGGATGCCCCATAGGTAAGCAAAGGGGTACGAAAGAACAAACAACCACCATGAGCGAGATTAGAAGCCGAACGGGTTTTGGGGTGCTGGTCAACGATTAGAGAGGTCTTGCATAGGTATTTTGTCGAACACTTACTGGCATTGGCAAGGTTCGCCCTCCCCGTCGGCTGGGGCGTTAGCTTCTTTGCGGGCTGTACACCAAACTTGATGGTCGGTGGTGGGCCAGTCTTCTGGGGCACCAAAGGCTGCGCCTGGGGCATTGGCGGCATGGGAGGGACAGGCGGCGGGCTTTGGTTCGACATGTAGCCAGTCGGCTGTGGCGCAAGGGCCGGGGGTAGAAAGCGGTTGACGCCAGTCGCCTGGGGGTTAAGCGGCGATGGTTGGAACGAGTTGTACCCCGTAGGCTGAGCCTGTAGTGGTTGGAAAGGTGCCCGTGGTGGGTCGGCAAAAGGGCTGCCATTCCCGAAGCCTTGTGTGAAGTGTGGCTGCTGCTGCTGGAAACCTGTCTGCATGGGCTGCTGGAAGCCAGTTGGCTGCTGTTGTTGGTATTGAGCGAAGCCAGTCTGCATTGGCTGCTGCTGGGGTGGAGACATGGGGTTGTAGCCTGTAGGTTGAGGCATCATGCCGTTCTGCTGGAATCCGAAACCGCCATTTTGCTGTGGGAAGCCTGTCATTTGCTGTTGCATTGGTGGCATACCCTGCATGCCTTGGCCCTGTCCAGAGTTTTGACCCATGAGGTTGGGGTTGTATCCTGTGAGCTGAGGTTGTAGGGGTGGTGGGGGACCGAAACCACTTTGTTGTGGGTTCTGAGGGGCAGAAGAAGAACGCTGGGGCGGTGGAGCGATGAGACCTCCAGGACCCTGCTGCTGGGGAGCTTGTGGGCGCATGCGCGGCGGGGCCATGTTGTGAGGTTGGGTAAGGGCCTTGATAGCTGCAACCTGCTCGAAAAGGGTAGGAGTAGCGCCTGTTGGCTGCGGTTGCTGAGCGGGTGCTGGAGGCTGTTGAGCAGGTGCTTGTGCGGGCTGAGGTGCTGGAGCAGGAGGCGTTGGCTGCGCGATCTCGTCAGGCTTGAGTGCAGGCATGTCTAGAAGAGACAAATCGTTCATGGATCCAGTCAGCTGGGGTGGTTTTGCGGCAGGGGCTTGTGCTGCAGGTGGAGATGCTGTCTTGTCAGCTGTTGACTTGGATGGCTTGACATCCCACGCATTGTCGTCAAACCCATTCGCTGTCTTGTCAGATGTCGCTGCTGACGTCCCGTCTGTGGGCTTCTTGACGGCCTCATCGGACTTCGGTTCAAACGCCTTTGGATCAACGACATCGTTCGTCTCAACTGGTGGTGCAGGACGTCCCTTCCGGGTGTTGTTTCTCAGTGCACCTCCTGGACCTGAGAACAGTCCACCAGAAGCTCCCTCTCCTCCCTCTTCAGCAAAGCTAACACTTCGCTTATCTCTTCCAAACTGCGCATCCAAGTGCTTGGTCACACGGAGAATGTCACCTTCCTTGAGACCCAACGTACGTAGAAGCCCAGGAGTGATGTCTGGAATGTTTTCTTCCGTCATCTCGTCCTTGGTGAATGCCCTGGCGTACCGTTCGCAGATCTGTGGGTTGACACCACACTTGAGGAAGAAGTCGAACCAGTCGTATTCCGGCTTCTTCTCGACAGAAATACCGGTTGGACCTGAGTCCTTCCCGCGAGGCTGTTGCATGCTCCTCCTCTTCAAATCCGATAGGGGTTTGTCGTCATCTAGAGACTCGCCTGTGACGCGTTCGACGTACTCGAGGTCTTCTACTGACATCTTTGTGACAGGTACAGCGATCTTGACGCCATTGACTTTGTGTAGGTGGATCTTGCCATCCTTGATGAGAATGAACTCTGCCTCGACCTTGAACGATCCGGATCGGTCGGTCCAAGTGCGTACCTTGGCGGAATCTAACAAATTTGGTCAGCATCCTTGTACACAATACGTGTTCTGTTGTCCCACTAGGTAGATGTTCGGCGCCCACGAACGGCGCAGAACCCTTTTCGGTAGACAGATCAAGGAACTCAAGTAGTGAAATTGCTGTATACTGACTTGGTTTGGAGCCGGACTTTGAACTCGAGTCCTTTGCGGAGCTTTCGCGCTTGCTTGATCTCTGTGAAGTACGACGATGGTCAACGTTTGTTTGCATAAGACTAGAGTTACGCGAAGGCAAGTGCAGGCCAGGGCCTACCTGATCGTTCCTTGCCTCACTTTCTGGCTTCTTCCGTCTCGCAGCCTGACGAGCAAGCTCTTCCTCCTCCCGCCTATTCTGTTCGACGACGGATCGGCCAGCGTTGGTTCCCGATCGAGCGATGGCAGCTGCGGGAGCGTGTATGGGGACGGTTTCTGTGACCTCAACGTAATTAGCTGGTACCACACCCTCTTTGCCATTCTTCAGCCGCCTGACTTTCCACCACTCGTCACTTGCGGAATCGTCGAGGACTAAGATCTCGTCGCCGAGACCAACGGTAACTTCGTCATCACCCTGTGCCATGAAGTCAAAAAGCATAACTCCCTTCTTCTGCACATTAGAGTTTCCGGAGCCAGCAGCGAGTACTTCGCGGAGTCCTGCGCTCTTAGCCGCTCCTGCAAGCTCACCAAGCGCGAGCATGATCTCCGATGCAGTGTCTTTAGCACCACAGTGGAAGTCGACACTCTTGCTTGGCTGCTTAAGCTCCATGAAGATGTGTTTGCCTTCTTGCGAGTAGTATTCCATCTTGTCCGCGCTCCATTCCTGTTGCGGCCCGTCGCGCGACTTCTCGGGTGCAATCATGATCATTCCTTTCGGGATGTTGACACCCAGGGTGATTGGCATTTTCTTATTCTTGCCCGGCTGTGTAATGTACTCGTAGATGTTGTACAAATGGTATCCCGACCCCGACATGGGTGTCGCGGGCTGCTCGTCCCTGCTCGGAGGATCATATTGGTCGAACGTGACGCTTCGGGGCGGTGGCGATCTGACTGGGGGCGATGGGGATCGCGCGTGTGCGTATTGGGTAGGCGGCGGTGAGTAGACCTCGGACTCGGGTCGCTGGGGAAGACGGGGTGCTGGCACTTCTTCGTCCGACTCTTCCGGGGTAAATTGCACGCGTCGTTGCTGTCGCGGAGGCGCGCTTACGTTGGGCGGAGGAGAAATAGTCGATCGCGGTGCTGCCTCTTGCGACTTCTTCTGTATGATGCCAGCCAGAGCCGCAGCGGGACTCGGTTGTGGAGGAGTGTCTGGAGTAGGCGGCTGATCGTCATCGAAAGAGTCGGTCGCTGGTGGCATGGGCGGGCGACTAGGCAGCGCGGGAGATGGCGCAGCTGGTGCTCCTCCTGCTGCTCCCTCTTCAGTGAGCTCGATGTAGTTCGCGGGCGCAAAGCCATAGTCGTCTGCGACTCCCACCAGTGTCCAGTCCGGGTCGGTGGTATCGTAAACGTCTAGGACGGCGTCCTCTTTGAACGAGAGCTCCTCGTCCGTCTGGCGGTCGTAATCGAAGAGGGCTTTGGCTTGTGCAACTGGGGCGGCCTATACATATCATCAGTCTCTATGCTGCAGCATTCCACACAACGCCTGGTGCAGCGTTGGGCATGGTTTGCGACGCGGATTGGGCTGTCATCGGGATGAGGCGCAGCATACCTCTTCAATGTAATTGTTCGGGATCAAGCCCTCGGGCTCTTCCTCGTCGCCATCGCGCCCCTTCTTCTTTGCTTTCCACCAGGCGTCGATGGTCGACTTCTCCAGCACCATCAAGATGTCGCCCTCGTTCAGGGCGATCTCATTGTCGCTCTGGGGCTCATAGTCGTAGATGGCGCGATATATGCCGAGGAACACCATTGTGGCGGCTACACGTGCGGCGCAGTCTCAAAAAGCGTGTACAGTGTGGTGAAGTAGATTACTGAATGTGTGTACGGCCGGCGTCGATGCGCATAAGCTCGGCGGAGGGCCACGGGGGTGCTGTTGCCCGGTCGAGGGGCCAGCTGGACAGGGGGAAGCTGCGTGACGCTACCAGGTCGGCGCCAGCAGCTGGAGAAGCAGAAAACAGCGAGATTCGAATAGAACGGGTTGCTTAGGGCGGTAGGCCGGGACTGCGGGATCGCTCGTGCTGTAGCAGCGGAAGTGGTGAGGCAGCTGCGAGTTGGGTCGACGATGCAAGTGAGGACTCAGCACGAGCCAACTGTCCCATACGGTCGTCCCCACCGACGACGTCAACCCGCTTTCATCCCATGTTCCTGCGACTTGTCAAGCATGCCGGCGGACGACTACCTGCATGACAAGTTCAAAAGACTACATGAACTCAACCAGAACCAAGCATCACGGTGTATTGGTAGAGTAGATATTCCTTAGCGTCTGCCTTAGCTCAACCACATTCCGCCCTTCACTCAGTACGTAAACCGGAAACCTTCTGTCCCCTCTAGGAGACGCTTCCCCCTAGTCTGCCGCTTGTTCGCCATGTAGAAAAACACCGAGAACACTCCCACCAATCCAATGATCAAGAGGTGACTTCCTATGCTTACCCAGATGGCCGTCATATACCTCGGACTTTCTGGTGCTCTCACAATGAAGCTTCCAGCGATACCGCCAGCGCCGTTGAAAGCTGTGACCATTGCGGCAGTAAAAACCCTCTTCCACTGGCCGACAATGTTGTTCGCCTGATAAGTCGCCATGGCCGCCCAATTCGCCACGTACGCTCCGGTGGCAAGGTAGGTGCCTATATACCTCACGGTGACCTGGTCCGAGAAACCCAGCATACAGAAACCTACAATCAAAGACACGCAGTTAAAGACTATAATAGGCCCTCTCAGCTGGAACTTGTCGCCGACGATCGAGGACAGGATAGCGGGAATAACAGCGTAGTAGTAAGGTGGAGCGGATAGCAAAATCGCTTTGTTTGAAGAAAAGCCCATGCCGGTTTGTAGAATGATAGGTAGGAAGTAAGACAGCGATGTCGAGACGAGGTTCTGCAGGAAGTAAAGGGTGCAGAACCCGTACACCTTTAGATCCTTGGCGTGAACGAAGACTTTAGACCATGCGAAGTCGTCGGGTTTGACATCGCCTCTGTCGTTGTCGATTCGTGAAGACGCCAACGCACTTTCGTGGGGCGTGAGGAAGTAGAAGGAGTTTTGGGCATGCTCTGGGAAGTCGACCATCCACCAATATGTCAAAATACCGAAGAACGCAGTAATGCTACCCTGTACCTAAAGTTTGGTGGATAGAGTCAATACTTGTCTCACATCAATTTGCATTGAATATCACTTACAACAAACATCCACTGCCAACCCTTGAGATATTTGCCGTCGAGCTGATTGAGTCCAAAATTAACGATGCCACCTGTTGCCAAGACAATGACTTCGCCACTCTGCATCAGAGCAAAGCGAAGCTGTTGCTCTTTCCGTGTATACCATGTTGAGATGAGATAAGTCAAGCCGGGATAAATTCCCGACATAGCTATTCCAAGCAGAATGCGTAGTGCAATCATCTGTCGCCATGTCTGCACGAAAGCTGTGCACAGCGTAATGATGCCGAAACAGAAGGTGATGAAGGCAAACCAGATACGCGGTCCGAAGGTGCGCACAGCGATTGTCGATGGTAGCTGGAAGGCAATGCTCGCGATCGTGAAGATAAATATGGAAACAGAGTATCGGTTGCCGACATTTAGTTCCAGATCGCTGAGCATGGAGGTGACAGATGCGCTAGAGATGACGCCGCTGTCAAGTAGATTGAGCGAGCACAAGATACCAGCAATGCTGCAAAGTCGAAGGTCGACCTTTAGGCGGATACTGTTGCGCCACTCTTCTTCAATCCTATCTCTTTCTCCATCGTCAAGCCCATCGTGCTGTTGGTCGTGCAATTCTCGGATGGACTCGTCCGTTGACTGTTGGCTGGATGCACTCTTCTTCATGTTCTCGCGATTGGGAGGGATGAGGGGTAGCAGGAGTCTGCGACGAAAAGCTCATCATGTAGGTCGCCTATGGAAGTAGCCAGAACGTGCTTATCGTAGCACAATCCAAATTGGTGTACACATCCGGCTGCAGAAGCTCCGCACTTTCCCAGGTGCAGATCTCCAGGGCTCCGTTGCTTACCGAGGCGCGGTTCCGCACGATAATTCCGCAGCAGATTACTTAGCAATGACCAAGCCGCTGATGTGGAGATCTGCATGCGGCTATCATAGACTTACTTGTCGCACATGTCGTCAGGCATGTTAAAGCGCCGTCCGAGTCTGGCGAGAGGCTGACGTTGCGAATAGATGGACTTGACATGCAGAAAAGCAGGCATCATCGGGGGTGGCCAGGATTTTTGTCGCAATTCCAAGGCTTGCTGCATGCACACTGTTATGTTTTTAGTAAGTAAGACGTTTCCCAGATATTGTATACTTTCAGTCAGCCATCTTCCTGAATGTCACACAAGTTGTAGACACCGCTAGTGGCGTAGCTCTAGTGAGCAAGACAGAGCCCTAGTCTTGGGTAAGCCGGTATATGCTGTCCAAATGCCGTAAACAAGAAGACGCCTGCAGTCTCTGAGCGAACATCGGACTTTGCCATGCGACTGTGATACACATCACACACCTCCCGAGAACACAACTCGATCCTGACAGGTCGGTTTCACGCACAATGTGATATACCACAAAGTCATACATGGAATTGGTGAAGTGGGCTGTCACGTACAACTTGAACTTCAAGGATGCGACATCAGTTTGCATGCGCAAAATCCAATCTGGGGGAATGGGATGATATTGATTTTCTCCGATGAAGGAAGACCCTTTCTAGTATAGCCACTGGCTCTCCTGGCCAATGGTTTGGGTATCTTCGCCAAGCTAGATAGCGAGTGTGGGTATTGATCGTAACAGACAAGACAAGAAGAAGAAAAAAAGATAATGAAAAGATACAAAGGATAGTCCACAATTCAGCAGACGAGAAATAGGAAGTAACAACAGAACTCCCAACATCCGAGTGAGTGCCGTATGCTCCGACCGCCCTGCCTTATGTGTGACCCGAATCCGACCCAGTCCATTGATAAGACAATTTGTGTGTGAAAGTGTCATTAATCTGACAACAGGGGTAAAATGCATAAACCAACCGGGTGTCCCAAAAGCACTCGCTTCGTAAGTCGTGAAATGAAGGGGAGCTCCCTGGAGGAACTCTCAAGAAGATCAGGTGTCGAAATTAAAAGGGTATAGAAATCAGATCGACGGAAGTGGGCAGAGGCCCGGGCGGGAGGACAGCCTAGCCTTCATCCTCACCATCGTCTTCGTCCTCATCTTCATCCTCTTCGCTCGTGCTGTGACGCTGCACGGCACCTGCCTTGTTCTTCTTGATGGTAGGTGTTCCCTTGAGTTGTGTAGATGAAGCCTTGCGCTTGGGGCCAGAGCTGGCAGGCTTGGGAGGCATGGACGCGTTTTCCTTGTTGCCGTCTTCACCCTCGCCTTTTCCGGCTGCATTGTCCATCGCAGCCACCTCTTCTGCGGTCAAGAAGCGACCGCCAGGACCACGGGGACGGCGCATGGCGTGATTGTGCCTAGACTCGTGTAGGTATGGCTTTCGACCCTTGGATGTCAGCCTCAGTGCATCCTCGAGTTTCTGTCGCGCGAGACGCCTTTTCAAGATGCGATGGAATTGTTTCGCGTTCACATAGAGAGGAGCCTCTTCTGGTTGTGCACCTCCAGCGACAAGCTCAGGCGATTGTTGGTGCTGCGATTGCTGGGGCATCGGGGGGACGGAGGGTCTGGGGCCGCCATGGTTCATGACAGGCTGTGGCTGCTGCATCGCAGGACTACTGATTTGAGTGCTCATTCGCCTTTGTTGCATCTGAGTCGGGGTCATCTGAACTTGAGATGGGAGCGCGTTGTTCATCGCATTGGAAACGTTTGTCGGCGATCGTGGAGCGCGTCCATCGCCCTTCATCTGGGATACTGACATGCGTGGAGATGCGCGTGGGTCTTGTGCTAGTTGACCTGAGATGGCGGTTTGGTCGTAGTATCCGGCTGGTCCTGCTGCAGCAGCCGTAGCTAACGCAGCAGCCTGTTGGTGTTGTTGCTGTTGAGAGGGCATGTATGGATTTTGCATACCAGCCATGTAGGCCTGATGCTGAGGGAAGCCCATCTGCGGGTGGTGCTGGGGATGTGGTTGGCCGTTATGCGCGAAGTTTCCATTTGATGGAAGGATCGGGGACGACTGCTGCTGTCCGAACTGCATTTGCTGCGGGTTGGGCGCGGGCGCATGCCCATGGAATTGTGCGTAGTCGGTCATGGCTGTCTACAATGCGTAGATTGTGGGCCTATTTGCGTGAAGACGAGGTAGCGAGAGGCTCGCAGTTGAGGCGCGTAATACAGGCAGGCGGTCACGTCGCGGCAGGGCCGATACTTGATGCGCTGTCAATGGCCAGGCGTGCTTGAGGCGAATTCGCTAGAGCGCACGGCTTTAGCTTCCAGGTTTGAGGCGCAGCAGTGGTGATTGGACGTCGAGGGGCAGTGCGCGTTTACAAATGATGGAGCGATTTGTCGAGGATGAAGCTGCACTCTAGAGGCCCGCGCCGTAGTAGTGGAGAAGAGCCGTTGCAGGTATTCACCAGTCACGAGAGGAAGATGAGAGTCGCCTACAATGATTGTCAGCCAAATCAAGAGAGCATTGGACGCTGTGCTGGCGGGGTGGGCGATTGGAAGGGATGATGCGCTGGCATATGCATGCGCGGTGAGCTAGTGCGCTTACCTTGTTTCGTCAGTTGGCGGGCGTCAAGGTCGTATTGCCGGTCTGAATGCTCTTCGGGTTTGAAGTCTAGGGCGACCAGCGAGCGGACAAATGTATATTGTCGTTGCGCAATGACAGCTTTAGCAGCGGCGT